AAGAAACAAGTGAAACTATTACTACATATGGCAGCTGCACATAGAAATTAACACTCAACTTTTTTATTTTTTTCACCACAAATCACAATCATATGATCAAGAAAAGCACAAATACACTCCATTTCATGGGAAAAAAAATACATAAAAATCAACTTTAAACTACTACATATTCTACTGATGAAGCCTCATAAGCCGCCATTGGAATTACAGTCTCAAGCTTACAATCAACGGATAGCATTTGAACCGAGTTGAAGCCGTTCTTTTCTTGAACCTTAATCTTCTCAATAAGCTGAAGCAAAATTATCTCCATATCTTCACCATTAACCGATTCGTGCACGTCGGCTCTCAAAACCTCTCGGTTTTCACATATCAATTCCCAAACGGGAAAATCTTTTCTCGGCATCATGAAATGGGTTTCTCTTAGCTTCAAGCTCGGGCAAAAATCACCCGCACCATTGCCCAAATATATCATCCTTTTGCTACCTTCCTTAGCTATTGAAGCTTGAATTTTCTCTATAACCATACCCTTCATGCAAGAAAAAATAAAAATGTTAATTAATTAACAAGGTTTAGTTCAAATGTGTGACAAGAATATTGAATAGCAACTAAATTGGACATTGTTATGAAGAAGTTGACAATAACAATTGGTCGTGGATAATTAAATTGGACTATTTTCCAATGGCTAATTAAATTGGTCTTGGATTTTTTAGTGGAGTCAATATTATGAGAAAATTAATTAACCAATTATAAATTACGGGAAAGAAAGGTTCATATTCCAGGATAATCTACTAACAAAAATTCTGCTGCTTAACAGTAAATCACGGGACAATCAAACAAACAGGGATTTCCAGAAAAAAAAAATATATACATAATAAAAAAAATAAAATTAAGTACCTTGCACATGTTGGGCGGGCAGCGCGGGCAGCCATGAGGGCCTGCCCGAAAATCGACAAAGGGAGAAATTCTCAGGCAGCCTTTCTCATCAACGTGGCTTGGGTTCGTGTTGATTTCAGAAAAGCAGTGTTTAATTCTCAAATGCTCAATAATTGTCTCGATGAAAAACGTATTTGCATCACTCAATATTCTCAAATCACACCTGAAAATATAAATAAAAT